TTGGTGGGAAATGATAATGAAGATCCACATGACATATACATAGCTCGTCTATAGCCAACAACATTATTACATACTATTAGGGAAACGAAAAATTATGTCCCGACTTTGCTTAAAATGCAGTCTCTTAAACACATTCTTAGTATGTCAGAACAAATAGCTTTTCAAGCACTCAATATCAACCATATATTCTCACGTCATGTCCAGAGGAGGCAATAAGCAACGAAAACTCCATTTTGTAGCAAAGGCGTGTATTTGTACAAAATATTGGGGCACAATTTAAAAGGAAACTGACCGAAAAAACCTCGATAAATATTAACTTGATACACCTGACTTCAGTGAACGAGCAACTGACGCATGCGCACACGAAACTCCGTTATGCTTCGAATCGTCTGGTCTTATGACATTCAAGATGGCGGCAAGTGACCTTTCAAGTAGATGTTACGAGACCGTTTATATCATGTAATTTGAGTAGCCCAAAAATTTTATTACAGCTTTTGGAAGATGAATCCTTGTACTTTTCAGCAATAATAGTCACTTGTTTTAAATCCATGTAGAAATAAAGATTTTTTGCCCTTGAAGTGAGTAATGTTTTTCGATAGATAAAAATTTTACCTAAATTAGAAGTTCTGAAAAAAATTCAACAACTCTAAAACCCGGTTTTTTTTCATTTAGTCAAAGAATTTTTCAGTCGGAGTGATTCTGAATTTTTTTATCGATTTTTGAGTGAGGTAGTCTAAAAGGCCGTAAATTTGCTCTGAATTATGCAAAAACAGAAAATCGCCGATTTCTCGATAAATAAAAAACTGATCAAGTTTTTACTATTTTTCCCATTCATAGCTCACCTAGTGCTATGTCTGAAATTTGTTTGGAATTTTTTGATTTTTTGATTTTTTCCAACGTTAGTCGGTATTTACAGACACCCGCTCTTAATACCTACTTAATATTTCGCGCATTTAAGAGCCTTATTTATTTCTGTACTGATTATATGTCTTCAAAGTAATGGAATGTTTTTTGAGCTATTTTCAGCATACTTTCAGTTTTACTTCCGTTCTACTCGATCGACTGATTCAGTCTCCGGTCATCACTACATCATCACTTTCTCGCGAAAGTTCAAAGTTTGAATGTTTGAATATTGGAATCTTTGAAGTTTGGGTTGAACTTGAATTTATGCCAGTTAATCTCGCTTCTGATTGGTCAATGAACAATAAAGATTTCCGAAATATTTCTAGGCGGTCACGGTTTTTGTTGATTCGCACTGTAACCAATCAGCGCCGTCAGTTTTGTACACAACTCATCAGTTCCGGTAAACTTGGTATATAAAAAACTGAAAAGAAAACGAACCGGGACAGCGACGTTGTGTGCCTGCAGATCTGACCGAACGACATACATCAGAATATTAGGGATTGAATGATCTACCAAAAATCTTAAAATAATTTATGGTTAAAGGAATTGCCTAATCACTGAATTTAGGTTGTTTTTATGTTCTTAGTGGAAAAAAAATTGTGGAGAATCAAAACACGCTAAACTGTATTCAGTTTTTTTTTTCTTGGCGGCCATCATAGCAGTCATAGGGATTTATCTCTGGAGAAAGCGGCAAAACATGAAGCCAGTTCCCGAAGAAAACATCGATGTTTCTCATGATTGTCAGTGCGCTCAATGTGCAAGAGAACGCGGGTTAGTATTTCTTTTTAAACTTCAGTATACACATTTTATAGATTGTCAGCATGGTCAGGGGTTAGTATTTCTTCGTATACTTTTATATAATTTATAGCTGTAAATGTTCCAAAATCACCTTGCTTCGATATATTTTGTACTTAACATCGCTTGGTACTTATGCTTGTCGAAACGTCACGTCACGTCGAAACGTCATGTCATTCTGTGCATAAAAACAAAAATATCCTCACCGTCACGTGATTCGATCTGTTTATAGCTTGGTACTATTGATAAGGAATAACTAATTAGGGGAATCCCCTTGTAATCCGAAAGTCACAACGTTTTTTCACCTGAAATATAGCTTTTTCTCTTATTTTTCAAGCTCTCGTCATGATAAGCGGACATTAATGTTTTATAAATAAACCTTCTTCAAGCAAACACTAAATAAAACGTCTTCATACGGAACCTCAGAGCAAGTTAAATGTTATTAGTTGCTGGTTTTTATTGTCTATACTAACTCACCCTATGCAATCTGGCTCTCGATCTTCGTACAGTTTTATGATCAAACTTACTAACACAAGAGTGTCAAAAAGAAAGAAGTTTAAATAACGATTTGAAATTGTTTGCTGTTTAATTAGTCCCTTTGTCCTTTTATAAGTTTATTTTATTTACAATAAAGATTATTAAAAGTGTACAACCCTAAATAATAAGTGTACAACCCTAAAGTGTATTTCACAGCTCATAAAAGTCGGGTAAACATGTTCCCGGGAATTTATATATTATCACAAGAAGTCAATTATAGCCAGTTAAACACAAAAACAAGAATGTCACGATTTTTAGGACTTTAATTTGCTGCTAGAGTTTGCTTGACTTATTCTTCCAAGTCAGAAATCATTGTGGTCCAAATCGGGCCTGTATGCATATCAGTTTGTCGACTTCTCTCTACGAATTTTCGTCTTTTCCAAACGTTCTTGATTTGAAGAAATGACATTGATATGCTTTTAAGTCCCCGCAAAGGCCCTGAATCGACTGAAAAGCCAAGGCCTTTTAGCAAGAGCTACAAAGGGCGAAAGAATCTAGGCCAAGTAGTCCCAGAATAACATCCAGTAAAATAATATCTTGGAATTGCCGTTGCTTGTGTTAGTATGTGGACCAAAGTNGAACAGCCGTAAAATAGGGCCTGATTTTGTAGCGAAAGGATCAATTTCTGTACATCAAAACATCCCAGCTAGGATATGCAACTCATACAATTCCTTAACATGGATCCATGCTACATCTTTATCCTCGTGGTGATAGTTGGGATAATATCCAGTTTTTTAATTCCGACATTCACTTATTCTCGGGAAAGGAAAAGACGTACAAGTAAAAAGAACGTAGCTGAAGAAAACGATGACCTGAGTTCAGTTTCTGGATGTTTTTGCAGTACATGCCGGTTAGTATCATGACATGTAGATTAGTTTATGGATTTCAGTTACTTATACTATCATTGAAATTCTGCCCAATTATAAAAGTTATATATGTTTCACCTACATATTCAGAATGGATATGTCTTTGTCAAATTATTGCGTCTATTTACGCTTTTTCAAAAAAGGAAAAAATGTCGTTTTTTAATCTGAATACAATAGACATTATATATTCATGTTGGAGTTTATTATAGCTGACTTGCGAATTACGCATCAATAGTCACATACAAAGGAATCAAGACGAGGCGCCGTGCTAAAGACAATAGATTTTTCATAAAAAAGCACGGCGCCTCCTGATTCCTTTTTGTATGTGACTATTGATGCGTAATTCCCAAGTCGGCTATTACGTTAATGATTATAAGACAGGTTTCATTGTTGGATTTTTAATTTTAATTTTGGTGTATGACTTATAAACTGCCGTCTTTTGAAATTGGTAACTTTTAAAGAAAATAGATTCATAAAAATGTGACTGAGCTAATCAAATAGTGATTAAGTGCATCTTCTGAATTATGCTTAGCATTTGATGTTGTCTAAGCAACACCACCATTCCTATAGGGTTAGCGTTTACTCATGTTTGCACTTATGTTAATTGCTGCCGCAGCGTAGCGAGCCTGAGCGAGCGAAGCGTAGGCAGCAACTCTAATCTGGAGGAGGGCAAAATTTCTCGATTTTATCCCAGGATGCAGTACGTTTTCATTAACAGTCCCGGATGTTCTTTCTCCCTTGTGTTCTTGAGGTGAGTCGAGTTTTGTTGTGTTATTTTGATTTTTCTTGCTGTTTTTATTATTCAGAGAACTAATTCAAACAAGTATTAACCTCGAGTTCATATTTTCTGTTTCAGTTCTATCATTATTCCGTTATTTCTGGATCGTCTCTTGACAAAGATTGTGGTCTAAAGAGTTCTGGACAGTGAGTGCATCAAGGGCGCTAGATCACTGAAATTATGACCTATAAGTTCGAGATGTCGCCTAATTTATCCAACCTATGATAGTCGATAGTAAATAAAGTTTTACTTATTATCTGAAATGCATCCTGAATCTGTCGTCTTAGCCTCTAAAAGGCCTTTGATTTTACGAAACTCATTCAAATGATCGGGTTGCTGACCCGGGGGGTTGCTGATTTTTAGGGTCTGGCCAGGAATAGCCTGCGTTACATCCGGTTTTATTTTCCACATAAAACCAGATGTAATATTCATCATTAAAATCACTTTGCGCTGGCTTTTATTTGAATCAAATGTAGGTTCTTGAACCAAATATGAGTGCCATCTGTGCCAAGAGTAGTTTTTATTGATTTTTATGGTATAAAAAATTTGAATCTGACACTTAATTTTTTGTAATAAATGATTTTGAATTCAGTACTGAAAACGTCTGTTTTCCCCCTTGTCTATTTATAAAAGACGTTGCAATAAGGGTTCACAACAGAATAGCATTCGGGACAAGATTTTCCATGTGAGAGTAATACAAATGCAGCAAAACCGCCTATACTAGAGTGAAGTCATGCAACACATCAAACGCCGATCACATATGGTGGCAATTAAGCTACCGGGCAGCACTTTCATACCTTTTAGGTAAACTAGTTTATGTTAATTTTCGCATCAAAACATCTTATTGGGGTTTGGATTTTCGTTTTGATGTTCGTACTGATGACGTAATGTCAATTTAGCTATAAATACTGTTTGTACACCGCCCCCGACTTCATCTGAGCCTGAACATGACGGATGCTGGTCATCGGAGATCTGAAATGATGGTCATCTCGGTAGAAAGTCTGGCTATTTCGAGTGCTATTTTCAGCCATCAAACATTTGTCACGCAAAGGCCCAGTATGTGACATTGCTTAGCGATTTTCTTGCGAAAAATGAAATATTTTCAAAAAACAATTTTAAAACTTTTTAAAAATTTATTTCTCAAAAACCAACTGAGCAACAGGCACAAAATGTTTCTCACATCATTATCATTAACGGCAAAGACTTCTTATTGCAAAAGGAATTACTTTTATCATCAAAAAGATTTTTAAGATCATTCGATTTTTACAAGTTTCAAAAGTTTTCAAAAAAAAAAAAAATGAAATTTTTTCTTCAATACCATGTAAGTACATCAATATACCATGTAAGTAAATCAAAATCTGAATTTAGAGATTTAGAAATATCAATGAATGATTCATCACTTAAAATGACTTGAAACTAATAAAAATTACTCTAAGTTATGAATAACTTGGGCTGCTCTGGCMCTAAAGTCTTTATAAGTATGATAAATCTCATGACAAGGCAGGTAACACATTGGAAGTTGGCACTGCTTGCAATTGTAATTCGTTTGCCTTCTTGACCACCCYTCTTTTTCTCTGCTACTGCAAACAATACAGTCCGATTTGTATTTCGGGTTTTCAAACCGGCCTATATTGTGTCGTTCAGTAAGTCTTGCAGGCAAATCATTTGATTTTCGACCAGGTTTACTGTTTTGAAGGCGGTACCCGTCAAGTAGGCCATTGATAACAAGCTCTCTGAATTTTCGAGGAGATGCTGCCTCTTTTTTCTTAACACTAGAGTAGATGATGTAAGCATTGCTACCTCACATATCCTGTGATATACAGGAAAATACCACTTTGAAGATTTATGGGGAAATGAATATGTTCCTAACTTTTGGTCAAGGATATCAACCCCATCCATATGTTGATTGTATGTTTCAGCTATCTTAGGTTTTTCAACCTGTCTATAACCTCCCTCTGCTCGTCTGCTTCTAATTGGTTTGTCCACAGTGTTATTTGTGTGTATTGTAGATAAAAAATGAACTCATGCCAAGCACATGCTATCATATTTTTAGAACGCATGAATATTGGATCATCTTCTTTAACTAGGTGTTTTGGCCTTGGGGTGGATTTCCTTTGGCATATGTTTTCTTCCTGGTTTTACAGTCCCACAAGCACCAATTCCCCTTTCCTCAAGTTCTTTGTAAAGTGATGGTGAAGTATAGTAGTTGTCAGTAAACATCATAAATCCATAGTCATTATAGCCTTCTAACAGATGTAAACATATACTTTCTGTTGAAGTGTACCCAGGTACAAGGTCTATAGTTTTTTCCACAATAGGTAATGAATTTGAGTGCATAGCCAGACTTGCTTTCACATAAAGCAAATTGCTTTATTCCCCACTTGCAAGGCTTTTTTGGGAGGTACTGCTTGAAGTGAAGTCCCCCTTTGAATTTGATTATGCTCTCATCTATAGACAAATACTTATCTGGGCCATAAACAGCTTGGTGAGTTGGATCACAAATATTCATCAGGGGCCTCACTTTCCACAGGTTATCAAAGCCAGGTTCCCCTCTAGCAGGTCTTTCACCTTCATTATTATTGAAATGTAGAAATGATGTTATAAGTTCATATCTGTTTCTAGACATTAGGCATCAGAAAAACAAAGACGTGTGAGCCAGAAGCTGCCCCAGTAATCTTCAATTTCATTCTTTTGACAAAGACCCATGCCTATCTGAAGTGCTATGTAAGCTTTAATTTCTGAAGCAGATGTGTCTTTCCATTTTTGAAACCTTGAGTGTTGAGAAAGCTGTTTTCCTGCCAAAAATTGAATCAGGAAAGAATAAGATTGAAATAATCAACTTCTTTGAAGTTATTGGTATCAACAAGAATACCTTTTCTTCTTTCAAAATCCTTTAGCCAGTCACTGGAGAATGGGTCATCATACCTATACGGTTGCCAATCAAATAGGGGTTGTACTTCATCCTCCTCCTCCTCCTCATCATCATCTTCTTCTTGATTTTGGACTACTATTTGGTCTGCTGGATGCTGAACTCTTGCCTGTCTCTGTACTACTGGTAGTACAGGATGAACATGCTGATGATTTGGCCTTTGCCTATGTATTTGCTGTTGTAAAGGCTGAACACTACTGTATTTGAGGCTGGCATGACTGCTGCTGTTGATTTTGTCCTATGTGTCTAACTATTCAAAATATAAAAAAAGTAATATATCTTGAGCTTACATATTAATAAAATACAATTGAGAGAGATCAACTACTGCAAAGAAACCAAAAAGTTTTGACATATGCACGAATTGAAGCATGAAATATCAACATGCGAAAAATGCGCGAAAAATTTTAAATCACTACACTAAACATGATCAGATTACCCTGCGAGCAGAGGAATTTTCCACCCCCTTCTACGAAGAAAGTCCTTCGAAAATAAACTTGAATAGTGTGCATTCTATTTTTACTCGGGGTTCCTGTGGAACCGCCGAGTTTAAATTTCGGGCTTCTTATTTATGGTCGCTTATCAGTCACAAATTGTCCACAGGTAGCCCAAGCTCATAATCACGCGATATTCTAAAAATGCTATTTAGAGGCCAAATTAGCGAAATATTATTATTGTCCTCGATAGAACATCTAAATGAAAGTATTATTGCGAAATTTTGAGCCAAAATAATGCTTTTTAACAGAAATACGGGTTTTAGACGGGTCAAGAAATACCTACAAAAAGCTGTGTTTTAAGATCTAAATGAATTTTTCATTTTCATGGCCAAAAACAGCATATATTTCCCAACAATTATGCAAAGTTTGAAGTCAAACTGCGATTTTTTAGCAAAAATATAAGCGTTTGAATATGGTCTTACTTTACAAGGGAATGTATGGGAAAGCCTTGGTGTACTATCCAGTACACAACCACGCGGACNAAGATAAATTAAACACCGTAAGTATTTTAGGTAAGTTTTTTTGTTTTAGGTAAGTTTTTTTGCTAAACCTCTCTAGAGAGGTTTAGCATGACGTTCACGGCAAACGCCAAACGGCAGAAAAGATCACGTGACCTGCTTTTTTAGAGTTTAACGTAGCAGTTTCAACGCGAGAGCGGTTTATTTTGAGGTTTCCATAATCGTGAAAAGCCGCTCTTTTAAATGACTACCAAAAGCACAAGGTCGGGCACGAAATTCTTAGGTCATTGGTTCAGCTCTGCCGTCAGCCGTCAACGTGATGCTAAAATTCTAAATGCTAAAATGCTAAAAGGCTAAAATGCTAAAAAAACATCATCAGACGTGAACGACCACGTGGTCCGTGGGACGCGCGCAGTCATGTTACCACCAAAATACTCTTTCAACAAGCGATTATGTCCACTAATTAATTCATTGTTTTTTGTTTTTTTTTGCCAGTGCTGACAAGGCTGTACAACGTTGTCTAATCAACGCAAATATGAATGGAACAAGAGATGAACATCAAGCTTAACATTACAGCTCAGCCAATTTTCGATGTCGATTGTCAAATTAGTCAAGAAAAACTTCATTGTCAAAGCATCACACGCCAAAATTATGTACACAATGGACACGCGCTAGATCACGATTTGTAGGAAAAAAATAGAGTTTAAAAAGTGAAGTGCCCCAGTAGTTTTTAAAATATTTTAAGTATATTTTTAATACATATAAAATAGTTTTTAACCTATTTTAAAATAGCATTGCCCATGATAAGTAATGTCTATAAGCTTCTTTAATATATAAAGACAGTGGTGAGCTTCAAGCAAGCTGTAATGATATATGTTCGATGTAATCTTCTGTAAACGCTTTCTGCTCTAATTTATCAAGGAATTTGGTATTGATCGACCATGTGTGATATCATTTCTTAAATAAAGTGTTTACCAAGAATATACACACCAGTTCTGACAGTTATTTCAGAATAACAAGTCGGTTTCCCTGGAATCCCGCTTCATGCGTTTAGAAGTCGAAGCGCACATAGAAAGCAATACGTCTAATGGAACGGGGGAATCCCCTAATCGACTTGACGGATTACGTTATTGAACAGTCTGGTCTGGTCATGTAGCTTGGATAAACTAAAAAAGAACTGAATTAAATAATATGTTTAATTACAATCCTATCGCAGTGCAATACTAGAGAAAAACACTGAATTACAGGATGTGCGCAACACTGATATAACAACATTTAGAGTGGTTTTCATTAACCCGTGAAATACACTTTAGCGTATTACACTTTATTACAATTTGGCTCTTTTGTTTTCTATTATATTTCTTGGCTATTACACTTTATTACACTTTGACTATTACACTTTGTTTCACGGGTTAATGAGAACCACTCTAACAACTAACATTTAACAACATTTAACAACTACATTAATACAGATACTTAACAGACTTAAAATTTTCACATCAGTTCTCGTGATTTTTTTTTTTTTGTATTTGGAGGTTGACCTCAACTCGTAAGAATGGCTGATTTTTGTTGTCCTGGATTTAATTAGACTTCGTACAGGATCATTCACGTTCTCGATGTATCTTTGGCACAAAGATATTCTGCGCTCTTCCAGAGATGGCAAATTAAACCTACTGATTAAACCTATCTGAATTAGTGTAAAATGATAAAAATCCAGTCATTCTAAATGTATTCAAGCAGTAAAAACAGGTTTTGTGTTGGATGCATGCTCCGTTTGCAACATCAGGTACAATTATCCCTTCATGGAAGGTATGCAAATCTAAGCGTTCTTCAGAATAATTAGGCAATGTCAATAGTGAAACTTTATATTTAGCTTATACAGCATTGTCGAACTATTATTTCGGGCTTTTATTCCATAATTCTCTTGTCCTATTACTTGAAATAATAGTTGTTGTTTTATCATTTTTTCAAAACAAACAAAAAAGATTGCTTAACGTTTAGTCGCTGCCTGATGTTTTGACACTTGGTAAGTAATTGACAGATTGCTAGGCATCCTGACAGAGCGGAAATTGGGCGCGCATGCGCATTACAATTTGAGTTTGAGAGGAAAACAAAATGGCGGACAGACGGCGGCAAAAAGTTGTCTCGTTTTAAATGGTTCTAAAATGTAGCTAAAATGCTCAAAAGAGCTGAAAATCGTACTAAATCAACTGATTACCATCCATACGACATGGAATGAGGTATATAATTCAAGGTTGTCGGATGATTCGTGCAAAAATGAGGCATTTTCTACCGCCGACTCGAAGAGCACAACTTCGCCCCAACAAGTGTTCGATGTCAATCACAAAATCTTCAAAAATAAGAAACCGCATGGATATTTAAGGTTCATACTTTGACAGAAGACTAATCATTTGATGGACTAAAATATATCAAACCTCATCTGAAAAATATTGATGTCATTTTCTAAACGATGGGTTTGAAGTTGAAAACTGCATGTGTGAGCTCACTGAATCTGTATTCAAAATCTATATTGTGTATGAAGCATTTTAATTCTTCAGTAAAATTTGTTTTGATGATTGTTTAACTTGAAAACCTTAGACAAATCCAAAAATATCAAGTGTCATTAGAAGGTACACCTGTTTGATGAAGTAAAAGTATCAATTACAAATTAAAGAAAAACAAGAAAAGAACAGAAGTACTAGATCTGTCAGTTAGTCAAAGAAGACTGGTCAATATATGACTATCATCTTTCTTTACCCTAAACAATCATCCCCTGTTATGTTTTGACCTCTTATATAAGAATTTGACCTTAATCAATGACAAGCTTTGGGCCCCTTCACAGCCAAGATGTCAATGTATAAGTCTTTATATGCAAGCTGGTTATTTGGCTCATGTTGTCTTGATTTCATCCTCTCAGAAATGGTAATAATAAAGACACATTATCAATAAACCATTGTTCTACTATTGTATTTGTGATGTTTACATAGAAGTAGTATCAAAGAAGAGTTATTTTCCATGTCTGCAAAAAGAAAATGCTTATCAAGTTTTACTTGTATTAAAAGAACAGCTATTTCCACTGTTCTTTCATAGATGACAGTCAATAACTCTAATAAGGAATCCTCTTTGTTCACATTTATATTAGAAATATTTAGAAAGTATAAAATATTTAGTCATAAAAATCAAATGCTTCTATGATTAAAGTGTCTAAAATACAACAGTCAATAAAGTGATCTTACTTAATCTGTGCAACTATACAAACTAAATAGTGTTGTTTAGTTGTATTAGTAAATCGTGCATGTGATACACAAATTAAATTGAATTGATACAATGAAGCATCCCATAATGTCTTGCTTCAGGTCCACTTTTAGTACAAATTAGTACTACTTATATTTTGTACAGTTGCATGGATTAAGTGTGCTCACTCTAGTGTAAATAGCACTATTTCAACAAAAAGAAAACATTTTGACAAGAATTAGGTAATGATTTAGTACATCCAAAAATTCACTCAAGGAACAGAAATATATTATTATAGTAATGAAGGCCCTTTTAGGTTGTTTTGTAGTCTGCAATGTATCACAAAATGCAAGTTAAAAAAAAATCAATGAATAGGTTAAAATAGTGTTTCCACCAGCTATTACCTTTCCAGAGGCTAAGGCTGATCTATTTATAGTGAAACTCTTTTTTGGGCTGATTCTAAAGAGGAGGACATCAAAACTATGTATTGATTGTGGACAGATGTTTCAACTTTAAAAAAAAGAGGGAGGACTATATAGCTTTATGATAAAGGACCCATAAAGATTCTTAATATCCTGTGTGTACTTCTACTCCAAGGCAAGAAACATTCTAACATTGATTTCATTACTGTCTGACTGCAATCTCTAGTAATAAGCCGGTATGGAAAATATACTCAATACCTTAAACTGACACCCTTAATAGGCCCTTTGCAGCTTGACCACACCTACCTTAAATCAGTAAGCTATCAAAAATGATGTTCAGAAATGGAAAGAGCAGCTTTAATTGGTAAAATGGCAAAATCTCAAGTCTCAACTCATACTCATACTTAACTACTGCAAATGTAAAAATTGATTTTTCTAAAGAAATGTATGGGAAAATAGAACTGGAACCCATATTTTGTTGAGGCTGGTTAATAGCTTGCCTGATATACACCTTACCAAAAAAATTCTGCAACTTTCAATATATATGTCTATTGTTTCCCTATTGTTTAATCTCTCAAGAACAAAAGACATATAAATATTAAAAGTTGCAGAATTTTTTTGGTTAGGTGTATAACAGTATCT